GATCATTGAGTATAAATAGTTTTGCATTCAGCATTTTTTTCATTTATACTGTAATTAAAATTTAAAGTGCTAATCTCACCAGGTGAGATTCCCAAAGTAAATCCTGGGTTTTAAAACTACAGTACTATATTTGAAACAGGCTAGACTTTAAATATTTTATATCTTTGCAAAGGGTTAAAACTTTATGTTTTAGCATATGTCACTCTTTTGTAAGTCTCCAAATTACCCAAACATTTTTCAATATTTATTGTTTAAAGAGTAAGAAAAATGGGCCAGGCATAGTGGCTCACACCTGTAAATCCAGCACTTTGGAAGGCCAAGGTGGGAGGATTGCTTGAGGCCAGGAGTTTGAGACCAGCCTGAGCAACATGGCCAGACTCTATCTCTACAAAAAAATTTGAAAATTAGCTGGACATGGTGGCACACTGCTGTAGTCCCAGCTACTCAGGAGGCTGAGCCAGGAGAATCACTTGAGCTCAGGAGTTGGTGAGCTGTGATCTTGTGTGACTGTACTCCAGTCTGGGTGACAGCAAAACCCTGTCTCCAAAAAAAAAAAAAAAAGTAAGAAAAATAGATAAAGTTTAAAAATTATAAGTGGAAAAGTATCCTCATAGACAAGTAAATGGAAGCACTAAATAGGGAACACATCCAGTTCTTCAACTGTATTGTAGCTTGTAGGGTTATTTATTGAGTACTTAGTATGTGTTAGTATTTTTCCTAGTAATTTACATATATTGTATGTAGTATATTTAACTATATTTAATAGTTTTGTTGTATATTCCTAAACTGAAAGAAACAATACGAGTTAAAATTACTGCTCAATATTTTTTTTATTATTTTTCTTTTTGAGACAGTGTCTTCCTCTGTTGCCTGGGCTAGAGTGCAGTGGCGTCATCATAGCTTACTGCAGTCTCAGGCTCATGTGATCTCCCGCATCAGCCTCCCCAGTAGCTGGGACTACAGGTTCATGCTACCACTCCTGGCTAATTTTTACATTTTCTGTAGAAACATTTTTGATATGTTGCTCAGGCTGGTCTCCATCTCCTGGCCTCAAGCAATCCTCCTGCCTTGGCCTTCCAAAGTGCTAGGATTACAGGCATGAGCCACCATGCTGAGACTCATTCCTTAGTTTTAAAATATTGAATTTTAATGGACCATCTTCTTGGAAAATAGTTTTCTTTTTGGATGAAACTGTAATGAATCATGGTTAGCTCTGTGACTTATACAAACTAGAGTATAATTGAATGGTTTAGAATGAAAATTGGTTAAGATATTAGCATTACCCAAAGCACCTGCTCCAAAATATATATGGAGATTATGTGAACTTGAGTACCTTTTTAGACGTAAGAGTATTTTGTTGTTTTTGTTTTGTTTGTTTTTGCATTGTCTTGTTGTCAGGGAGAAGAATGAAATTATATAAAAGCACACGAAATTTTTATTAAGGTATTATTTTCTTTTTCTAGCTTAAAGCAATAAATGTGGATCTTCAGAGTGATGCTGCTCTGCAGGTGGACATTTCTGATGCTCTTAGTGAGAGGGATAAAGTAAAATTCACTGTTCACACAAAGGTAAATGTGATTTTGTACTTTGTATTATTTTAGCCATTTACTGTGCTAATGTTACATGTGTAATATTAATAATATGTTGACTGGAACTTGGGTTTTTAATATAATTGGAAATAGACTGTATTTTAGTTTATAATTCACTGCTATTTTAACAAAAAAAAGTTTTAGGAGGCCGGGCGTGGTGGCTCACGCCTGTAATCCTAGCACTGTGGGAGGCCGAGGCGGGCAGATTGTTTGAGCTCAGGAGTTCGAGACCAGCCTGAGCAAGAGCGAGA